ATTTAGGTAAGTATCACTGTGCCCTACCCCTGTACTGGTAAAACTTCTGAAGCAACTGAAGTCCCTCAGCTAGATGAAGTAATGCAATTAGTTTTACTGTTTTCATTAATGTGCATAAGGTGACAGGAAAAAGGTACATATATTCCTTCCATGTCTTTTAGCATAGAAATTATCTGAGAATGATGACTTTTGTCCTTATTTATTTATGAAACGTTTATCAGAATATTCCTTGTATGGGAGGTTTACTTTATCTCCAAATAGACAAGGCCACTATGCAGGTTGTCTAAACCTCATGGATACCTAGGGCTTGATTGAGTTGCTTGTGCACAGATATGAAGCATCAGTGGAGACAACTCATATTCCTTGCCAAGTCTCTACTGCTCTAGAAGTCTACAGGTTCCTCAACCTAGGTTGGAGGACTGGATATCCTTGTGTGTGTTGGATGGGAATAGGAGCCTGGGAATGGGCAACTAAACTGATGCTTTGCCATGTTTAAATACTCCCACTTATGCTGTATGTGTACTTCTGTGTGTAATACTTAGACATGCATGATGTAAGTAGCAGTAGGAACACTTTCACTATATCCATTTTTTTTCCCAATTCATTACATAACTTGACAGATGTTAATTGCAACTCAAAGATCACCTGATTGGTTTTTCTCATATTTAAAGGAGAACAAAGACCTATGACATTAATGTCTGAAGATGAGCATGTTGCCTGATGTTGAAAAGACTTATTTAGTCATTAGTCACTTGTGCTCAGGGATTTATTAGTCATGGTAATGCCTCCAATTAGCTGAAGGACAGAGAGCACAATTGGGGCACTTTTTGCCTAATTACTGTTAACTGTGTACATGCAGTTTACTGTTGAGTTTATGAGGCTAGCTGAAGTGTTACAACAACAAGCATCTTAAGAAGTGAGGTCTCTTTCTTATTTATAAAGTCATTAAAATCAGGATTAGCACCTCCAGTAAAAGATGTAAAGTAGGGCTGTGCCATGAACAGGAACGTTTTAATGTTTGATGTTGTATTTTTGTTCTAAGTCATAGTCTCTCCAGACATTCTGAAAAAGAGCTACTGTCTGAACTTTGTTGGAAAAAATGTATTTTACAGTAGATGGAGAGAGGATCAAGTATTATCTTCTATGTATAGTGAAATAACCTTTAGATGAACTTGGAAAGGAAAAGAATTCCTCTTTAATTAAGTTTGCCTTTCTTCCTGAGGTTTTGAGAGAGAGGGGAAAGTACTACTGTTACAGTGAGAATTGAGTTAATTGACATTAATCTTCATAGGTTTGTTAGATTTATTTTAACGGCAAAGAAGTAAAAAAGTGCTCAGCCAAAGTTAACTGCTGCTAAATAATTGAACGGCATACCTGAATTTAACATTTTCTTTTCTGGTTAGAAATGAGGTTTGCTGTCTTCTATCTTTCCTTCTAGCCCATTCCAAACCTTGCGTAAAGAGCTGGAGATACACAGTAACTTGGTAAAAGAGTAACAGTTTTGAATCATGTTTTCCAAAGTGAATGTCTCTTTAAAGGCTGTAGTCCAGCAAGCTTGATTAGATGCTGGTAACAACATCTCAGCTGATCTGCTCACTGGGTCACTTCCTTGTTCCAGCCTGCAGCATTCCTTCTTACCAGTCCTGCTGTTGCACACCGGTGGCTATGGCTTAGGAATCAAAGTTGTAGAACTGAGTGCCATCAGCATTGCAAGGACATTACAGTCTTTATTACATGCTTGGTGATCTTGGGCACATTTTAAAGAGGTGGTATTCTGGTTATGAGATGGATTAATCTCAGTCAATAGCCTTTGAAAAGCCCAGTAAGATAGAAATAGACAGAGTGATAATAGCTGTTTTCGCCATGTAGAACAGCAATAATCCAGTTCCTCCACATCTGGTTATTATTATCTGATTTGTGTTGGTCTCTTTGGTGGTTTATCTAAGGAATAGGTGAGTCACAAACTCTTGTTAACCTTGTGTATTAGTATGAAAGTCTACTGTATTTCTTTTCTCGTGGTTGGCACTTCTTTCAGTGTACAATATTTTCTAGATAAAATCAGATAGTTCCATGTAAATAGTCAGAAATGCACATTTCAAGCCAAAACTTGTCAGACACTAAGTAAATAAGTGTTGCCTCTAATTAAAGTATCTTCTTAAATGGATTTATTTAGTAGTGTCTGGAAAAGCTTTCAGAAGTTGTGATGGAATTTTTCCCTCTCCCTCTGGAATTACACTAATAGCTTTCTAAGCTCTCGCTGTATACCTATTTGCCATTCAGAGTTTTAAAATTATGGAGGGGACCAGAGGGCCTCCAATCAAGCAAGACAGAAAGTGAAAATTTGAAATGGATTTGTATTTTAATTTTTTTCTTGTCAATTTTAAAATTTATTCAAATATAGTAAATAATGGAAAAGAAACAAGTGGAGGTCAGATTGTTCAGAGAGGTTGTGCAGCTTTCATCCTTGGAGGTCTGCAAAACCCAAGTCTGATCAAGCCATGAGCGAATTGCTCTGACCTCAGAGCCAGCCATGCTTTGAGTAGGAGTCTGGACTAGAGACACATCTCATGATCCTTTTCCCACCTGAGTTGTCCTGTGAATCTATAAATAAAATTAAGAACTCTTTGAAAGGTCAAGATATTCAAGTGACTGTGAGTGGAGGTGTTGTGGATGTAATTCCTGTTGGCTTTTGGTAGTAATGGCATGACTTCTTGTACTTTTCATTTTGGCTAAATCTCTGCAGTTCTTAATAATATTGTGGAAAGAACATTAAAGCAGGACAAAATAGTGTCACAATCACTTCAGACTCTCTGTAAATAATTGGGATGATCCAGTGAGTCAGGTGCCCTGGATCTGTACAGAGCTCTGGTTGTTTCACTGTACATTCTACTGTTTATGGGATGGAGGACAAAAAGAGGAAGAAGGAAAAGGTCAGTTTTGCAGTGAGTATGTCTCTTTCCTTAGAGAGCTACTTATAAATTAACTTTTACTCCTCATCATTTTAATGCCCTCAGGAAAAGCCTGGGATTGCCTCTCTACTCTGAGCAACTGTAAGCCAATTTATATAGTAATTGGATGCCAAAAATTGCAAGCAGACCATAAATAGACACATTAAAAAAACCTGCGTGGTAACAAAACATGAAAGAGATGGCAATAGGTAGCTTTGAGGGAAAAAGAGTGTACATTTACAAAACTTAGCTTCCTACTTCTTTTAGTGCTCCCATTAGTGGGATCCTGCTAATGGGAAATGTTAAATATTTAATATCTGACATTTCTGTAATGTCTATGTAGTGCAGTAAAGATTAAGTATTTTATAGTGCATTTCAATTTAAAAGAATGAAAGCGCTTTTCAGAGTGTTACAGGGAAGCTGTCATAGTACTTTCAGCTTTAACAGACTCTTTCAACTTGTTTGCAGCCAGCTAGGTATGAAAGCCCTGATATCCAAACAGTTCATCCTCTGGGGACCTGCTGAGTTGGGGTACTGTTGAGTTGAGGTTTCTGTCTCACTTCCTAAATTAAGCAGGCATGCCAAAACCACCAAGCAGTTTGCACAGCCATGATAGTTGTGATTTTTTGCTAGTGTTATCCAAGAGGTGATGCAAGGCCTTGCGGTTACAGACCAGTCTGAAGCATTCCCACAAAGGACTGCAGTAAAAGCCACGCTTACCTACTCTTTCTCTGTCCTTACCTGACTTTTTCTGTCTAGTCTTCATGTGGAACATACTAGAGGTTTGGTTTCCTGTAGGAAGTTTACTGAAAAATACCAGCCTTAGTTTTGAGGTCAGAATACGTCTGTGTAATTTAGAAGTTCTTTAAATCCCTTTCAAATAATAAAGTAGTAACATTTTTAGTTTTAGTGTACAATACAAATTGGCACTAGGATAGTAATTTAATTTCTTCCTTTTACTGGAATATTGTACTTATGTTAACATTGGATCTGATTTATAGGGGTTGCACATGTTCTGTAATTGCTAGCCAGTGCCCATTTGTGAAGGTAGGTTGTGCGACTGTCAGAGTTACTGCTATCCATCTGATGCACTTTACTTGACCTCAAGCCCATAGCATTTCCTTGAAATAAAGTAGATGAGTAATATAGATTGCAGTTTTTAGCACTGGAGGAATACTGAAGTCCATATTCATTTGATTGAAATGGAAAGAAAATGCCTTCCAGGCATTCTTTGACCTTTTGATCTGAGCTAATTTTCAGATGCAACCAAGGTGTTACAATTTTTTTCAATGACTTAGTGATTAGCTATATATTTCTGCTTATCTAGTTAAAGGATAGGTGATAAATTAATGTGTGTTTTCCTTGTACATTTCTTTCATCTTGATAAAATAGGTAGCTAACAAATGGTCTTAAAGTGGTGCACCATTCCTTTCAGTTAACCATATATACATGCAGATATGTAGCTTGACACATGACTACAGCTTCTGCTAATGTTTAGTCATAGCACATGGATGTAATGTTTGTTTGCTTACCTAAAAGGTGAATGGAGTTGAATAAGTATACAAGTCTTATTTTTTTATATCATAGTTAGAAGAGAGACTGCTAGGAAAGAGATTCTCTTAATGCTCTTGATACCATGATCTATTATGATTAAGCTTCCCTTAGAAATATTTGCCACGACTTGAAAAAGAAATACATGTAGGGAAAAGTTTTGGAATTACACTTTGTGTTTTAAAACAGGAAAAGGCTAAGAGGAAGATGATACCTACTGTTGCTTTTATGGGTTTGACTCATGGCTTGAGTTTTTCTGTATAGATGTTGTGTTAATGCCTCTATAAAGCAAAATGTTGGTATTTTAAAAATGGGCTTGCTTCTTTCTGTTGGCACCAGAATGCATTTGGGTTTTTATAAAGTACTCTAAATAGTGTTCAATATTTTATCTCTTTCTTCTTCACCTCTTCTGTATTCAGTTTCACTGTTTCTTGTTTTTTTTTCCCAATCTTGTTTTTCTTTCTTTTTCTTTTTCTTTTTTTTTTAATTCACTCCACATAGAGCTGATAAACCAGATGATGAGGACGATGAAGATCCAATGGTGAATAAAACATGGGTCCTTGCACCAAAGATTCATGGTGGAGATGTAACTCACATACTGGACTCCTTACTTCAAGGATATGACAATAAGCTTCGGCCAGATATTGGAGGTAAGCTCGTGAAATGATTCAGTATAATAGAAAATGTGAATAGAGATGGTGTTGTCAAAGATGACAAAAATCCACTTATTGCAATTTCTAAAACTCAAGATAGCAACCTAGCTATAACAGCAATTAAATGCAGTGGTTTCCTGGAACTGATAAAAATAATGTTCTAGGCAAGAGTAGACTTGGTTTTGGGGGACAGTGAGAAATTTACAATAAATCATTAAAAGGCAATTATAATTTGCTTTTTTTAACAAACATCTTCTGACAGAAAGAAATGTGGATATAAACCAGCTATGATTATGTAAAAAATTGATCTTGAGTCTGTAGGAATTTATTAAAGAATTACTCCTAGAGGTTTTACTCTTACTGTAGAAAAATATAACTCAACCCAGTTCTCTTGTCCCCTTAGCTCAGATTTTGAAAAACTTCACAGGAATCTAAAAATATAACTTATGACCTTATCTTTTCTAGAGGAATATAGGAAGGAAGAGTGCATTGCTATAAATCAAACTTTGCAGCTAGTAGGAAGGTAATTTTGTCTTCCAGTAGTCAAAGCACCAATTTACAGATAATTATTAAGTGTAAATATTTGGAAGAATCTTGTTTTGAGAACATAAAACATGAAAGCTTGGCAGCTCTTGTCTACCACATGCGTACTGGATCAAATAAGAAAAATAATATATTTTTTCTGAGTTTGTTTCCTGAACTGTGAAGAGAGAGGTAGAGGACATAATTGTTTGTTACATACCTGACATTTCCTATCAAAGTCTGTACGGTGCTTATGTGATAAACAATACAACTGCTTATTTCATTTATGTCAGACAAGAGAGAGACGCCATCTCAAACTATGCAGTTTCTTTTGAAAGCTTCTGACAAATTGTTTTCTTTCCCCAATTTCTTAGTTCTGTTTTATTGTTGACTGTTATCCTGAAGATGTTGAAAGACAATATTTCTCTTGCTGTCATAATATAATCACATGTGAATCTCATAACGTTTGTTTTAAGTCTTTTTCTTCATGTTCATTTAATTGAATTACTATAAACATTTAGACAACAAGGAAGGTCTTCCAGCATGTTTTTCTTTAAATTCTCAATGTATGACAGATGTATAGAATTACTGTTGGGCCCTTTTTCCCTGTTTGATACAACAGACAGCAAAGTGATTATGAGGGAATAAACTGTCTCCACTAGGATTCCTTCTAATGATTAGCTGGTAGGTGGGGTTGAAAGAAAAGAGAATTCTTTGTCTCTTCTCTCTCCATAAAACTTAGAAATAAATGGAGAGAATACAAAGGAAGAGGAGTTTATTCTGGCATTTCAAATGGATTTAGATACACTGAGATTGCCTCAGTTGGTTGGAGTATGGTGATAATAACACCAATGTGGGTTCGATCACCGTATGAGCCACTCTTTTAAGAGTTGGACTTGTTGATTCTTGTGGGTCTCTTCCAACTCAGAATATTCTGTGATTCCTAGATGGGTATGGAAGAATTTTGATGCAATGCTTACCTTTACTTTTCTGGTTATATACTGAGTCTTGATAGGGCAAGAATTCTTCCTTTTTGTGAGTAACTCAGTGTACAGCTTTTTGGATTCAAAATATCAGTTCCTGAAAAAAGACACTTAGTTCTATCTTCTCTCACATAAATGTTCCCTTTCTCTTCTCAATACTTCTGTACCAATCTGACCTTTGCTATCTGGGGCCTGCCTCCACCCACTATACTGAAAAATAAAGTTTATTCATAATCAACCAGAGTGATGAGGAGACATTTGGGAGTACTCACTTTGTTTTCAGGAAAACAAAGGTTGAGACTGATTCTCTTCTGGATGGAGGGTAAATTGCAGACTTTTGCCACAAAACAGAAATTCTGGATAACATCAGCTGAAATTTCTGACTTCAGGTGAAGGCATTGCATTCTGTCTAGTTGTTTGAGAACTGCAGCAGATATTTAAGAGAGAAAAACAAAACCAGTCTATAGCTTGTTCATCTTAGTCTGCTTCAAAGATGTGGATAAAATCTGGTGCCAGATTCCATATCTTCAGAGTGTATGTCAGTACTTGTACAACAAGGTTATTGAACTGAAATTCTCATTATCTTTCAAAGTAATAATATCCCACTGAACATTCTTATGATTGAATTACAAAGTCCATTTACAATAAAAACATTTTTTGTTTTGAACTTGGACATTTTGGGTTTGAATCCCAGAGCAGAATTTTGTATTCTTCCTGATGTTGACACAGAATTTCAGCATCTCAGAGTGAGATAAGGGTTTCATTGTTAAGCATGAAGTTAGTTGAGGGACATGCTAAAGGAAAGCCAAATGAAAATTGAAACCAGAGATAATGCTGAAATCTAATAGGAGAAAACTGTTCTGTCATTTTCTGTTTGTCTCATTCAAATGTCCTTGAGTTGTAGTGATTTCTTGACTGCTACCCTTTGCTACTTTTATTAATCTTACTTGTCTTTAACTCAATTTATGTAGTAGGCTTTAAGATGCTTGGAGCATACAGGTTCTAACACTGAAGGTCTAGTATTGAAGTAGCGTCTGCTCAGTATGAAGTAATAGTAGTTACCAGATGAACTCTCCTATCCGTGGTATAAATAACATTTAATTACAATACGACTTTGGTATGTTGATATATTAATAAAGCAGTATCATTCTCATTGTAACATTAACTTTTGGCTGCCTGATTTTATAACCACACTGTTTAAGCATCAGTTCTGCATAAAAGTAGCTATTATTTTTGAACTTTCCTTTTTAAATTCTAGCTGCACGTTGATCCACCTCTCACATCTTAGGGACACTGATGTATTAATATTATCCTATCAACGTACAGAGCACTTTTTCCAGCAGTGATGTGTATGGGTGAAACACAACTGATCAGTCTGGAAATAATCATCACATATCTGCAACTTATACAAAGCATTTCAATCATCAGTTTGAGGCAAGTCATCGTTGATAGAATTTTCAAGAATTGTCATGGACATACAGAAATTGCATACCTAGAGAAATTTGGATGGTTATTACTGCCCTATAAACAGGGCCTGGGTAGGACATTACATCTCAGTCCACTAATGTGAAAAGTCCTGTTCCCTGGGATACAAAGAATACATAGACAAAACTTGGATTTTCAAGAGACTAATGGAAGTGTTAATTTTGAAAAAAATAAGAGTAGCAGGAAGATATTCTACTGAAGAGGTGATCTTAGTGTAGCATTGATGAAAGTATGATATAGGCAGAAAACTAATAAGCTGAAACAAGTAAGAAAATATCAAGTAAAGGTAAAGAGATAGGTGTTTTGAGATGAAGAATATTCTTCAAGAATTGAAGAAAATCAAAATACAAGATTAAGATGTAGAAGAGCATATTCAGTGAAAGTTAAAGGTACTGGATGTGTGCACTGCATAGAAAATGGTGAAAATAATAAAAGTGGTGGGGCAGGAGTATTTGCTAAAGATGGGTTTCTCTTATATGAAAAGCTAAAAAAGTTTGGAGAACAGGGCTCTGCTTTCATCAAAATCACTTTGAAAAAATTCTTCAGAGGTGCAGTTGGAAGCCTGCTGTAGACACTTGAGGCTGAATTGTCAACATAAATAATCATAAAAGTAATAATCTTAGCTAGTTGTGAGAATTGTATTACTCCATTAAAAGCTATTACAACTTTAAGGCCTTTGTTGTTTCTGAATGTGGTAGTCACCTAATTTATTTGCTGAATAACTGCTTTATCACCTAGAGGGGATGTTTCTTTAGGCAACTAATGAGGACTTATAGAAAACACGCTCAAAGAAAATAAACCTGGATGAAATTATCTAAAGTGGTCTTAGTTAAAATTAAATAGTATGATAAGTAATAATTAAAAAAAAAAAGGTGATATGTCTTAGACCTTCCTTAGAAAAAGAGGGAATTATGGAAAACTATGGGAACTGGTTAGTAAATTTAGATGGACTAACATGCTATTTGTTAATGAATTGAAGTAATAGATTGGAGTAATGAAAATGGAGCAGCATTAAGCAATAAAAAGTGCAATGTTCTGCCCTTTTATATTAATGATAATAATTTCATGTCAGGAGATGGGTGTTTATAGACTAAGAATAGCTGATAAGGAGAGATTTTAAGTACAGCAGACAGATATTTTAAATATCAAAATCTAAAAAGTGGGCCTGGAAAAATATAGTCTATAAAAGAGACTCTTTGGGTGGCAAGGCCAATTACTAAAATGATTTGTCAATGATAGAGGTAGATTTTTATCACTATGATTTGTCTAATTGGAAATCAACATACCACAACATTTTTAAAACCAGAAGTTTAGTCTAGTTAAAAAAAGGTGTCAAACAGGAAATCAGAAAGTGAGTAGCTCTCTCTAGAGTGGGCTTACCAAACAAGTCCCCTGTGTGCTTCAGCTGGTGAACTATCCCTTGTGGACAGCTTCTCCTTGGTGCTGTTCTTTCTCTCCCTCCTGAATATGCAATCTGTTATCCTCTCACCTTCTTACTTTACTCTAACCTGCATCATACTGTCTCTGTGTAAATCTTTAAAGTCTGCAAGCCCTTTCTCCCCTTGCTTAGAAGATTCTGTATGTTTACAGTGCTGTTTTACACTTCATACAGGATGTGTGAAATCACCTTCTTCCTACTTGTAGTGTTTTCAGGGCTGATATCAAATTTTTAAAGTAAAATAAAAACCATTCACAGAAGAAAAATCTTCTCAAACCATCTTTCATTGTTACCTCTTTGTGGAGAGGAAATGAACAATAGTAATTACACAGATGTTAAATTATTATTGAGAATGTATTTTCTTCCAACATTTGTCATTTGCATGAACTCTTATCACTTCTGGTTCAAGAACATAAGAAGAATGAATTAGTTCTTCTAATTCAGAAGCATTTTGCTCTGTAGCATGCAGAAGAACTAATGTAACAAAACAGATTCTTCCAGTGTTCTTGAGTTGGATTCCTTTCTCTGGCTTATTTTGGTCAATTAAAATAATTTCAACAGAGGCAGATTTTCAAACTCTTCACTGGCTCTTAATACCATGAATAATTTTACTCAGTGCAGTATGGAAAAGGAAAAATGAACTCTCTTGCTCATTACAGGAAAGCCCTTGTGGCAGATGAAGTACTGCTTGCTGCAAGCTGGAATTTCATAAAATTGACATAGCCCCCGTTAAAAACTGGCTCACTGACAGATCTCAAAATTTAGTTGTTAATAAGAAATATCAGTGATTGGGCTGCCTATAGTGGAGTCTCATAGGAAACTCTTCATCAAGAATAATGGTATTTTGAATGACTTCAGCAATTCATTTTTGTAGTAAAGTTGGCAGATGACACAAAGGCTGTTGGAAAGGAAGAGGCTGCATCTACAGAGTAATCAGCTCCTTCAGAATAAGCAGAGATATGAGAATTGAGAGGGGAAAAAACAAGGAGGTGGGAGGGGAAGAAACTTGTGAGTTGGATTTCAAGGTGAGAGATTCTGCATAGTAAAGTATTCAACATTCTTTGAGCAATGAGTCAAGATACACTTTGATCCATCTCCTTGTGTTCTGGTCTAGCAGTGGAGTTGCTGTTATATAAATAAATAGGGTGGTAAAATTAAAGAAAAAAATTATCTGCTTGTGAGATGTGGTGTTTGCTAAATAGATTATATTGTACATATGAGGAGAGACCTCATTGCAAGTCTACAACTTGATTGTGAGGGGAAGAAGGACAGGCTGTGATCTCTTCTCTTTCTGACCAGTGACAGGACCCAAGGGAATGCCTGAAGTTGTGTCAGGGGAGGTTTAGGTTGGATATTAGGGAAAGGTTCTTCAGCCAGAGTTGGAACAGGCTCCCCAGGGAAGTAGTCAAGCATGAGAGAGATCAAGATGCCTTTGGACAATACTCTCAGGCACATGGTGTAACTCTTGGGGATGGTCCTGTGCAGGTCTAAGGGTTGGACTTGATGATCCTTGTGGGTCACTTCTAACTCAGCATATCTGTGATTGTGTAATGCACACAAACACATTATAAACCTTTTTTAACTCTGATATTTCAGCTTGTGCATATGGATTCTTGTGTTTTCCCCTTTCCTTTATGAGCTCTGCAGAAACTAAAAACATTTGCAGCTCAATCACAGATTATTCTGAATTGGAAGGGACCCACAGGGATCATCTCAAGAAGAACTTATTTTTTCCCCCAGGAAATAAATTCGTTTCCAGAATCAGTTTAAACTTCCTATGAAGCACGCTGGGCACAGGATGGTGATCAAGTGACTTTATGCTGTGTGGTCATAAAAAATCCTTTGTGCAGCCTGACTGGTGTGTCCTTCTGTCAGGCTTAGGCTCACACCAGTAAATGGATTTGGAATCAGGGAGAATTTCTTGGCAGGGAAAAGGTATCTTAAGATGTTTAGGAAGCGTATCTTACCTGTCATTGCAGCTGGCAAGGATGTCAATGATACCCTTTTCTTTCTGTGTGTTTGTTCAAGTTTTTAGAGATTTAAAAAAATCTTCTTTCTTAAGATTTTAGTTTTTTTAATGAGCACTTGGGCGATCTCTAATGGTTTGCAGTATAAAGAAATTAAATCTGACGACCTAGAGTCCCTCTTCTATGAAATCAAAATGCCTTTTTGGTGGTATCTTACCCTTTTTTCATCTGCAGATGAAAAAGATGCTTCATTTTGTTGTGTCAAATCATGAAGGGACGAACAGAGCTCTATTATTAACCCTTTTCATTCTATTGGTTACTAGGACATATGTCTTTTGTGTCCCCATTTTGACTCTCCAGTAGAAGCTAGAAAAAAAATGCCTGATAAACTGATGAAGTCAAAATGCATTCTCACTTCTTCTATTTGAGCCTTTTTTCCTGTATAAACCAGTTAGGAGGAAAAAATGGAATTATCAGTGGCTCCTGTACTTCAGATATGCCTTTCATGGGAAGTCACTTAGACTTTGTGTCCTTCCGTGAACGCACAAAACAAGAGAGTATATTCTGTGAGAGAATATATTTTTAAAAGTGTTTTTTTCTTTTTCTGCACATTGAAAGTGTTTTTCCCTGTTTTTAAAGCAAAAAAAGTTTAGTAATGTTTAACTTTTAAATGACTGTCACTTGAGGGTCTTTAAATTTGGTATTTGAAATAGCGTATTAACAAGCTGATGAAAGGATGTAAGTAATTCCTAGGTGCTATAGCTTCATGAATTGAAGAAATCTGTGGTGAAAAGATATTTTATTTTTGTTACATGTTCTCAGTAGAAATTGATAGAAAGCACTGCATATTGATTCCTTACAGATGATAAACACATTTTTTCCCAGATGTCATATTTTGTTGTATGAACAAATTTTTCCAAACTTTTTTTTTCTGTTTATGATTAAATTTTTAAGTTGGAAGACAGTTTTTGGGAGGTTTCATTTGTTTGTTTTTCCTTCCTTTACCTATTGTATCTATCTTACATTTGTTCACAAAACACAGGTGGGTATTGCATTATGAACTAAAAAATTGAAGTTGATAATTTTAACAATTCATATGAAATAAGGGAGCCAAGTCATATGTGATCCTCTGAAGTACTAAAAACCCAGAAATTTAATTATTCTGAAGCTAATAAAGGAATATCAGATATGTTGTTGTTTTAGTCAAATAGATTAAATTACACCAACAACGCACAGAGTTACTTAAATATAATTATTATGGTTACTGTTTTGTTTAGTGAGAACTACGGTAATTGAAACAGATGTCTATGTTAACAGCATCGGCCCAGTTGACCCAATCAATATGGTAAGTTCTGATTATTGACAGAAAACATCATCTGAATGTTGCTATGGGTTAATATTATGAAATAATTTTAATCTCATTCAAATTTCTTTATTCTTTACTGTGTATTCTTATGCAGTTGGATATGACTGGTTATTGCAGAAACATGTTTCATCTCTCTATCTGAAAAAGTTGTAATTTTAAAAATATATATCTTCTTTTAAAGAATGAGGCCACGCAGAGTATGTTTTATCAGATCCTTGTTTTAGTTTGTGTTGAGCATTTCCACTATGTATACCTGGATTGTCTCTGGGCCAGCATAATTTCCTGGAGCTACTCTTCAGAGCTTAAGAAAAATAACAGTTGACACAGCAATTGTGATTAAAACTATTGTCAGTGCAGTGATTTATTGTTTTGGACTTTTTGTTTCAAATTCATAGAAAGAAAAATTTGAAATTAATTGTTTTGTTGTCCTTTTTCCATTTAATCTTCTGCGTTCTCTTCTGTGCATGTGTGTGTGTGGTGTGTGTGTGTGTGTGGTGCGTGGGGGGTGTGTGTGTGTGTCTGTGTGTGTGTCTATGTGCACATGACTGGTTTCTTTAGAAGTTAAGCAATGAATTCCATGCAGTGTCTGGCAGACCTGTTGAGATCTGACCTATCTATTTAGTACCAACACTGATGTAACAGCACTTCTAAGGAAGTTGGGTGTGCGGCCCTAAATCACTTAGATTGTACATTTGTATGAAATGGTGGTGTTGGAGGCTTTAGAGAGGCCTTTTGGCATGACTTCTCCTGGGGACTGCTGCCCAGGACTCAGGCAGGGACTCACCATCAGGTGTGTTTGAGCTCACCCCTCTCCTGCCTTTTTCCTTTACCTTCTCCCTACAGAATTACTGACAGTATTCAATTTGCATGGCAGGGAAGTGTTTTGTTCAGAGGCTGGAGTATGGCAGTGCAGGGGTCTTCTGAGTATTTGGTGGGAGCACTGTAATTATAATTATGATTATGGATCTTGTAGTTTAGACCTATGTAATCATGCATGGGTGGGGAATAGATAGGAAGTCAGGCAGAAAAAAACAGTTGTACTTAGATACTGTGGATAGAGATGCCAAAAGTAGATTACGCAGACCTGTGGCAAAGGATATTCATTCCAGCATAATGGTCTAATAAACTTATGGTTGCCATTACCTGGGGCTGTGGCAGGGAAGTCTGTGTCTCAGGCCAGGACTGTACATAATGAAATGCATGACAGAGCAGAAGAGTGATGGGATGGGGGAAATTTTCCAATTTCCATGTCCAGTATAAGTGAAGTCTTTGTTTTTGCCTGCCTACCTACTTCAGTCTATCTCTTTTTCTTCTCTCTGTCCAATTCTTTTCTGAAGGAATTTACAAAGGGAGCAAAATTTGAGGACAGGCTGTAAGGAGGACATAGCAAGTGGTAGAAGTTTCTTTTTCCAGTAACCAGTGTAAGTCCTTCAGCCTGTGGGCAGTAAATATTGCATACACTGGAACTGAGCATGCAAAATGCTTACAGCTTCAGTTTTCCAGTTTTAAAGAACCAGCATGGGGCTGGCCTTGCAGGGTAGCACTACTCCATCTCCCATGCCCTTTTCTTGTCTCTGCAGCCCCTGTGAAATCTTCCTGCTATGGTTCATACATATGGTTGTATGACCATCTAACATCAGTAAAAAAATCAAACATTTGTAAAAATAAATAACACATATATATGTCAAGAATTTGATTAATGTTTCAAAAACCGAGATGTTTTATTCTGGGAAACAACATTCTCATCAAAATAAATAATAAGAAACTTGACTCTGTAAACTGTTTTTATGTGAGCTGTTGGTTTTATTAGGAAGGCACTTTCTCTGGAGTCAATAATGTTTGAGATTGTTAACCATTGCTTCCATTTCAAGGTCTGTTCTTCTCCCTTCATTTGATCACTTAATGTGAGAACACATTATCTGTAGTTCCCCTTTGGACTATTCATTTTTCAGATACCTTAATTCACTCTGGCAAATGATGTCCTTTAACTATTAAGTTAGGATAAAATACAGCATGATGTAGAGAGCATTTTTTCTGAAAATGATGCTAAACAGCATATCAAGGGAGTATGTTTGACTGAAAGCTTCAGAAGATACATATTATGAAAGGAAACATTTATTTTTGAATTCAGTCAGTTTTCCTCTTGGTATTTAATAGATATTTGTAAATGGGAGGTATGTATGTTATTCATTAGAATTTGTTTTTGAAGGCTGTTGTATTTTGGCTTTTACTATTTAGCAAAGAACTACACAACATTCTAGATGTTATATTAACCCCATTCTTGAGAGATGTTTTTCTACAGCATGTGATCTCTTTGGGCAACATTTTTAACAAGTCTGTATTAGTGGATACAGCTTCCAATTTTTAGGCTTTCAATGCTAACTAAATCTGTCTTTTAGAGCCGACCTTTTAGAGCTATGTGTTGTGCAATAATCATGTAAAATGCAGCTAAGTGTATTTTTATGGCCAAAGTCTTGATCCTCACTGGCTCTGCAGTGGTCTAGGAAATTCTTAAGAGAGTTTAGATGTGCAATGGGTATTTAGAGCCTGTTTTTACTTTATATTGAACACCTAATTTAGAAGTACTAGGTTTTTACTACCTTTGTGCTTCCAAACTAGGGCCAAATGAAAAGCAACCACTGCTTGCTGTACAAGTATCAGAGTCTGATATATGGTCCCAAGGTAAAAATGGGTGTTGATCCATGTTGCCTGTTGGCCTCATTAGCTCTCTCTGTCCTGTATTCATCCCCAAACCATATGTATTCATATATATGCATTTTTGTGATACTGATGCCCCAGAGGGTCCAGAGAAGAACCATGCCAGCACCACAGCTTTTGTGGTTTGACAGGACCATTGAAGTGTGCAATTCAGGTGGCTGGGAGAGGCATGGCACCCCTCCAAGACATTTTTACCTTCCTTTAACTAAAGGAATACCCGATCTTCTAATTTGCATCTGATCAAAACTCTGACAATAAAAGACTGCTACACCAAATGAGAGAAATTTTTTGAGAAGGAATGCAGGAGCAGTTCCTTAAGTCAGAAGCAGTATTGCATTATTGTGTCGAAAATGAAGAGCAAAGGGAAAAGTTTATACTTCCCCTGTCTATTTACTCAAGTTTCATTTAGTAAATAGTTAGAAAGAGGTGGATCATTTCTATAGAGATGTATAGCCGTTGTTACGGATAGTTAGACTAAAAACTGGCCAAAAGAAAATGCTCTACCCAACTGTCTATATCAGCCTGTGTGTAAGTGTATACATATATATGTATACAAGAAAATATATAAGAAATATATAAGAGATATATAAGAAAATAATGTTTTAAAATCCCTTTGCTTTTTAAAAGTGTTTGTAAGTCACAATTTAACAATTTGAAATGTTCTGCGATCATTGCTATTTTAGTATGTTCGAGGACTACTATTTTTCATTTCCCTTGTTGTGGATGAAGATGATGGTCTCTATTCATTCTTTATATTTATTAATGGAATCTACTTTTAGAAGGCCCAGACTGAAAATTCTAAGGTTTATTTCTGGGACTGCACTTCACTAGAACAATTCAGTTTCCTCCTTGTTTTCCCACATTTCTGTCTCTTCAGTGGATCCTTTGCCTTTTGTCATATGATCTTTGTTTATTATCCATTGAAGTCTGTGATCACAAGCTGAAGCCATACTTTGAAGCCCACCACCCTTTCTTTTCACAAGAGAGCTAAACCACTGAGCAAATCAGATACTCACAGAACACACGATGTGCTACTTTGGTGTGCAGGCTGCATGCCCTGGACATTGTTAAGATATAATTTTTCATGTCATATTGTAACATTTATGACTTTGCGTAGAATGTGCTGATGGGGAATTTTAAGTATCCTTTGGTTTCTAAATTTCCATTCATTCTCAGTCGCACTAACTAGCAACAGATTTTTTTATATTTATTTTTTGATAATATTCAAGTATCAGTGTGATCAGTATACTAGTACAGATTGCTGTATTGCACTTGTGGAGGGTACTCTGTGGTCAGGTGTGTCACTGCACTTACTCTACTGATCACTGCATTTGTATTGAAGGTTTGAAAGTTTTGTACCCTTACTTTACAGTGCCAAGTAATTTACATTTAATACACTAGAATACAAGTAATCATGACCTGAAGATACATTACCTGAAGTTACCCTGAAATCCAGTACTCAAATATACACACTCTTTGTGTGCATTATTCTAAATCAGTATAATTTTAACTCTGGTTTTGAATTATATTAAATGTTGTGTTACTGAACCATACCTGAATTAGCAAGGTCCTGATCCTGCTAATGCCTAGATATGTACTTCAGTTTACATGTGTGAACACTGACATTACGTGTCAGATTTCTTAAGGATTTAACAAACACAGTAGAATAAAATTCAAAGTAAGAAGTGTGTAAAAGGAAAGATATGAACTCTCCCTCCTTGTCTGTCTGTTACAGAGCTGTGTGTCTGAGTGAGCATTGTTCCATATAAGAAATATGCATGTAATAAATCAGTGCTATCCAAATGCTGCAATAATAGTAACATTGCAGGAATGGGTGAACACTGCTTGATAAGGCTTGTCATGGTTTGTGAACTGTATTTGAAGCTTTTCCTGGAGGTTGGATTTGTTTCCACGTTTGAAGAAGACTGTTTTGAGGAGAACTATTGACTCTGTGAACTTTGTGATGACAGAGTGAAAGGAAGATCATAACAGATGCACTTTGGCCCATATTTTAGAAATTATGAGATTTCCTAAAGATGGTGTTAATTCAGTGTGCAAGCACTGGAAATTTTTGGAGAGTCAAGTGTGTGCACTTTATGCAAACTTCAATTATCTTTCAAATGGTAGGAATATTTTTTCCTAAAACAGGACAAAGTACCAATGAGTCTTTGAATCTTACCTGTTTCTTATTGTACAGCATCTTCTTTGTAATAAGTTAGAATATTTTTTCCCAATTCACTCTTTTTTTTTTTTTTTTTAAA